ATACCTGACATTTCAAAAACGGGATCAAACTTGATGCGCTATATCAGAAAACACATATACTACTAAAGATACTTTTAATCATCTCTAACTTTTTTCTTAGTTTTTCTAAATTAATTAACGTACAGGAATAAGGAATTGCTTTACGCGTTTCACTTTCTGAATATGTTTCACAATCCCAAGCAAATTAAGTATCATCACTCATATTTGAAAATACGTTTAGTTTCAAAGGTGATACTTGTGTTACGACATTATCATCTCTACATGTTTTCCATACCTGTTCATAATTATCTTCTATTTCTTTAATACCTAAATTTTTTTCATTTCTTCTTATGAGACAGAAATGTGAGTTATGTAAATATAAAACCCAATCTAATTCTCTCTTTACATCTCTAGGGCGTAAATTTCTATTTTTGAGGGTATGAATTTGAAATGAAGTTTCACATTTCTTATTGAATTCATTAATTCTAGCAGTTGTCATTACTCTTTTTCTGTTCACTTTTGGAAAATTAATAATGAAGTTTTTAAATTCATTTGTTAAATCTTTGTTCAAAACATGATTGACACATTTGATAAAACAGTTACCATCTGTTGGTATATAACAATTTCTACCTGTATATATATTTATCTTTTTAAGTAGTTCAGTTCCTTTACCAACTTTTGATCTTTTAATTTCTTTAATATTGTCTTTATGTAAAATTATTTTTCCTGTAAAATACCAATCAGAAGCATCAGATTTTAAATCCATATTAGAAAAGATTTTCTGAAAAGTCTTGGCATTGAAACCAAGAAGTCTCATATTTTGATTGTGATTTCCATGCTCGATTATCTTTCCATCTATTTCAATTTGACCTTTAAATGTTGAAAATGTATCAGAAATAGCCTTGATAAGATTGGTAAATAGCACGTTTTCTATGAATATTTCATCGTCCATAATTTCAATGTTATTCATATTTTTTATGTATGACTTTTTAATTATCTATTTTTTTAAGTATTTTTTTTAACTTTTATTGCTGATATTGCCTTATCAAATTTATCTAAAATTTCATTGAATTCTTCTAATTCTTCAATGGTTATGTTCTTATCTTCTCTTGATCTTTCGAAAAATATTAATAATTTATTAAGACATGTATTTAAAATTTCTGTTTTCTTTTTATAATAAGATTTCTGTTTTGATGTGCAACCTATAGCAATCAAGCCACAAGATGAAGTTTGAATAGCAGTAATTGTGGCTAATACAGTTGGGATAAGTACTGGAACCATTAATCCACCAGTTACGGCCGTTGCAACTGTTGTTCCTACTGTTAGAACTACACTCAGTGTTTTGAAAACAGAATCAATTCTACTCCATGTTTTTCTGCCTTTGTTGAAGTGTTTTAGTTTTTCATTTAACTCCTCTTGTTTTTCTATCATATGTTGTTGCCTGATTTCGAGTTCCATTTTAAGGTAATTAAATCAAGTGAACTTCTGATAAAGCAAAAGATTGACAATTTTTATCTAAAGAATCTATCTCAAACAATTCGCCGGGATAAATTACTATAGATTTAGGAATAGTAACTTCTACAGTTACTATAGATGTTTCTTCTTTCGAATCATTAATCTTATTCAGATGAGGTGAAAATTTTAGTTTTTTGATATTGATTTTTATCATACATGTATAAGTATGTTTCATACAAGTGATTAACCTTGTTGTTTTCGTCGTTAATTTCTAATCCTTTAGTTTCTACATTTTCTATACCATAGATAGACTGAAGAACTTTACGAGCGTTAAATTGACGGTTAGATGATATTGAGTTCTGTCTGAAGAATATTGAATCAACTTTTACCTGTATAGGAAATATAAATATGATAGACGATCACCATCAAATAAGCTTTGGGTTTCGATATGGAAATTTGTATCCTAAAAAACTCTATTATATTTGCTGTAATTCCATATTTTTCATATTCAGACTCTCTTGATTTATCAATATTATAACTAATAGAAGCATTCTCATCTCTCAAATTTCTAAATGGAAGATTGAAATATGATTTATTTTCTTCCTTGAGATTCTTTTCTAATGCGGCTATATTTTTTTCCTGTTTTAAAACTTCATTATTAATAGTGGTTATCTGTTGTTGAATAACACTATCATCAATATTTTTTATTTCTTTTTGTAATTCAGTTGTAAATTTAGTTAATTCCCGTTGCAATTTGTCTTCACTTATACCTGGATTAATATTATCTATTAGTTGTTTAAGATCTTTTTTTTGCTTTGTAATCTTATCATCTAAATTAGATATTAATGAACTTAAATTTTGTAACTGAGTTTTATCTACTACATTGATTAATTGTTGTTGAATAGCGACTATTTGTTTTTGTATTTCACTATCATCACTAAGTTTACTTTCTAATGCAGTTAATTTGTCTTCACTTATACCTGGATTAATATTGGCTATTAGTTGTTTAAGATCTATTTTTTGCTTTGTAATCTTATAAAGTTTGTAACTGAGTTTTATCTACTACATTGACTAATTGTTGTTGAATAAAATTTTTTAAACTTGTTACTTCTTGTTGTAATTTAGTATCATCAATAAAATCTTTATTATTTAGTTGACGTTTGAAGAATCTTTTCACATAGCCTAGAATAACACTATCATCAATATTTTTTATTTCTTTTTGTAATTCAGTTTTAAATTTAGTTAATTCCCGTTGCAATTTGTCTTCACTTATACCTGGATTAATATTATCTATTAGTTGTTTAAGATCTATTTTTTGCTTTTTAATCTTAACATCTAAATTAGATATTAATGAACTTAAATTTTGTAACTGAGTTTTATCTACTACATTGATTAATTGTTGTTGAATAGCGACTATTTGTTTTTGTATTTCACTATCATCACTAAGTTTAGTTTCTAATGCGGTTATTTGTCTTCACTTATACCTAGATTAATATTGGCTATTAGTTGTTTAGATCTATTTTTTGCTTTGTAATCTTATCATCTAAATTAGATATTAATGAACTTAAAGTTTGTAACTGAGTTTTATCTACTACATTAAGTAATTGTTCTTCAATAAACTTTTCAAACTTGTTACTTCTTGTTGTAATTTAGTATCATCAATATAATCTAATTCTTTCAGTTTACTTTCAACAATAAATTTTTTATTATTTATTTGTCGTTTGAAGAATCTTTTCACATCATTTATCCTTCTTTTAAATAATCTTTATCTACTTCAATTAAATTTAATTTCTCCATTAAATATTTCTTGTGAACAGCATCATTGTCATTTTCTGGTAACTTTAAATTAGTTATGGAAAAATTATTCATACCAATATCACCTTGTAAGGAATCTCCAATTTGATCTACAAAGTAAGGTTTTGCTATATTTATCCATGCTGTAGTGTTAGGTTTTTTAGTATCTAAAGGTAAAGAACCTAATCCAAACTTGCTCACCATTGTTATTAAATTAAATTTATTATAATTTTTCAAACTGTTTTCCTTAATTTAATTGATATAAATCCCATAGTGATTTCATATTTTTATTATAAAATTCACTTCCTTTATCTACCCATAACTTTTGAGGTCGTCTGTTAGATTGTTTCATTATTGTTTCAAATGCGTGTTTGACTGATAAACCTGTTTTGTTTTTGAGAGGAATAACCCAAGTATATCTTGTGTACAAATCTATAACGGTTAAACAATATTTATATCGTCTTTATTAAATACTTTGACTTTTAAAAAATGTTTGTTTTTTCTAAATTCTTTGTGTATTTCATCTGCTATTCCCATACCCATTTTCATCTTTGTTTTCAAGAGTTTAATGATTAATGCTCTTTGAATTCTCTCTTTGAAAGTTGGATTTGGAATATTTTCAAGTTTGATTATCATTTGTTTGTCTGCTTCGAGTCTGGATGTTATGTCTTTATTTCTGTATAGTATATCGTGTTTGAGCACTGCTGCGTCAACTCTATTGACTGGTTCTTCACCTGGTTTGGTTTTATCGTTTTGGTCTAATCGCAGATCTAACCTTGTACCTGGACCAGTGTAATTATGACCTGGAAGAGGTTTTTCTCCAGGATATTTTGCCCATCGAAATCCGTGAAGAGAACCTAATGATTTTTGAATGTCGGAACCGAAATAAGTTATAGGAGTTTGAGCAATTATTATTGACATTTTTATCCAATAATTTTAAAACCGTTGCCTTTTTTTTGTTTTCTAATCTTTTATTTCGCATTTCTCTTATATGTTGTAATTCTTTCAACTCGTTAGATCTTTTCACTGTTTCGCTTATATTTACTCCTGCTTTTGCTACAGATCCAAGAGCTTGCGTTCCAGAAGAAATAAGGGATTTGTTGTTTGAGACAAAGTTGGCTACTTTTGGGATGAGAGATGATAGAGCTGAGAAGAATCCGTCTCCTTCGAATTTGTGTTGTTCGTGTTTTAAAATTAAACTCATTCTGTTTTTAAACAAGGTTTTTATATAAATAAATTATTTTAAAAATATGTTATTTGAAGGTGAAATATAAGGGATATAATAGGTGTGTATTATGATGGGACTTTGTATGGTGAAATAATGAAATGGAACGTATTTATGCCTATGTGCGTTCAATCTGAAAAGACTATAACTACTCGCGTGCACTTCACTTTAGTAAACCATGCTTGAAGTAGATGTTGGAAGATTAAATATGAAGGTCAATGTACTTTGAACCAATGAAGGTCAAGGTCATCAAAAGTCAAGGTCATGAGATATGAGCCTTCAAACTTCAAATTGCAAAAATAAAGCTTCCTAATTTTTGTTGGCAATCGTTTACAGATTACATACACATCAAAATTATACACGTCCAATTCTTCCCTCAGGCCCCATTTTGAGTTTTATAAAAGTGTGTCATATCAATATGGCGGCCTAAGTATCACTTCCGATATGGATTTTTTTTTCTTTGTTTTTTTTTTGTCATAAGTTTGGCTATCGATCAACATGAATTACGTTCACATATTTAAATTACAACGGAAGTTATTCATCCGGAAATTAAAATCAATTTCGTGTTTGAACTGGAAGTGAAGCAAACATTTTGAACTATTTTGTTTATTTCAGCAATCTATATTTGCATTCAAAATTTCAGATTAATCGAACAAAAAATAAACTAAATCCACAGGCTTCGTGTGGCAGGGCGTAACAGTTTTGATTTTCACTTAAAACTGTGCCGTAAAGTATCGTAACAGTAACATAATTTCCTATCATAATTAACTGGATATAGATCGCCCAAACGCAAAGCATATTCGAAGGATCGCTTCAAGTGACATTATATAAATATTCCTTAACCTACTGTTTTCAACAACAGTTGAAGGGACCAAACTCCGACAAACAATCTTTATCTTTTATACCACGAAAAACTAACAAAAGGAACACCGATAAGATAAAATTCACCAATTTCAAATGGCAATAAAACCGGAAGTAAACAACGTACAATTAACGTTAATGTACCATTGGATAGATCTCGTCGAGAGCTATCAAAATTTTTCACATGATCACCAAAGGTCAAGGTCACGATATACGACCCATCAAAGTATTCATATTTTTCAACCGGAAATAAATAAAAAGCAAATTCAAGATTCAAAAATCGGTTCTCAAATATTATTTAGCAATCGATAGTAGATACCATAGACATCAAATTTACCCACATTGGATAAACCAATTAGACCCCATTTCGATTTAAAGAAAATTGCGCACAGTTACTATAAAAGAAAGTACAAAATTTTCAAATATTAAAAAGCGCAATTGTGGTTGAAATATCTAGTGTTAGGTCACGTGACAGAGCTCTGTAAAGATAAAAATCGTAATTTTCAATCAGCTATAAAACCGGAAGTAAGCATTGGACAGCAAATATGAGTATATCACTGGATAGATATCATCAAGGGCAACATATTTTGTTCAGGCCACAAGGTCACCAAAGGTCAAGGTCACGAAATAGGCACCTTTGAAGTTTTGGTCAATACTTTTTTAAACGGAAATAGAAGAAAAGCAAAATCGAAATTCAAAATTCGGCTTCCATACTTTTTTTCGCAATCGATTGTGATATCCAGATATACCAAAATTATGAAAAGCGCTCTATACCCTGAGGCCCCATTTTGAATTTTACAAAAGTTTGACATATCAATACGGCGGCTACACTGTTACTTTCGGTTAATATTTTATAATTAGAAGTTTTTTGTATGACCATTTGTAACATATTGCATCTTTGGACATGTAGAACTGTACAATATGCGGTTTTGCAAAAATGTTCCAATTTATATTCATTAACTACGTCGTCACTACAGAAGGTCTACGAAAGTTGAAATGTTGCTGCAATTATTGCAGTCTAAGCTGTGTGCCCCTGTGTAAATTTCGAAAAAAAAACTGACAATATGATAACAAACTTCCGCAAAGTCCCACAAAAAAACAAGTAATAATCAAATTTCACACATTTCTCCTTTTCTTGTCCCAAAGGTAGTTATGACAAGTATTTCGTGAAATCCATTTTCTTTGTATGAGGGTTTATATCTTATATATCACATAAATATATTTTATTGTATTGTTTGTGTTTTTCAATTAACATTTTTGAAGCCATGAGTAGTTTTGTCTTACTATTTATTTTCGCAGGTTTCAATATAATGTATAAACAGCGTCCATAAAATTATAAATTAATGCCAGAAATATTTACGATTTGACAGGATTGATGTATGTGTCTTTATTTCAGCAATCCGTAGAGGATGATCTGATTCAACAATCTTCATTAACCCAAATGTGTATGGATTTGACACTGTCATGAATATAAATAAAAATCACTTTGTTGATTAGAATTCATGTGACCATCCCATTGAAATTCATAAATGCTGAGGAATATTGTACAACTTCAAACTAATTATCTTTTCAGTCTGTTCACCCATCAATAATTGTGACCAAGAATATTGTACAACTAAAACTAACCAGAGATGTCGGAGATGTGAAGGATTTGTAGCAGATAAATCGTGGTATCGAGCTTATATAATATCGGAGGATAAAAGAACGTGTAATAGTGAGTAATTTGTTTGTATCATTTGTATCATCAAATTCACGTTTTTATTTATTCTGGCGCATTTTATACAATCTTATCATCGAAGTTTAAGTCGTTCCACGCAAAGCCTGTAGTAATATTCTGTTTTCACATGGTAGTGATACCGAGCAAGCAGGTAATATTCTAGAATTGGCATTAAACCGATCGTGCTTTCTAACGGCATGTTAGTTTAACAATGTCATGGGTCAGAAAAAATAAAAGCGCCCTTTATTGTATTTAAGATTTTAGATTAAAGATGAAAAAAATTAAGATTTAGGATGCTGTTCGTGTACACTTGGCAATTCAATATAATGTAAGGGTTTGATCTTATTCATAGAGGCCTGTTCATGGAGACCAGACAGTAGATGTTATCCTGGTTCATGTAGAGATGAGCTGTTTTCAAATTGTAATTGTTCTGATGGGTTTACTGGAACCCATTGTAATAGAAGTGAGTGTATTAGTATATGTGTAATGATTATTATTATTGTGTATATTAATGCGTATAATCATTACACTAGAGAAACTCATAGTTTGGGGTATTTTTGAAGGAATTATGCGATTTGCGTACATTTCTAGTACTTCTTAAGACTATTTACATATATTCAAGAATCAAATCAACCCCAGAAAATGACGAATCTGTCCTTTTAAATGTAAATAATGTAATATTGGGGTTATTTATTTTCGTTTTAGTTACTGCTATCCCTGATATTCTATACAATCAAGTAAGGCTAACTGCTCATAATGGTGAAACTGTTGATGCTCCTGGTGATTTTGGAGCTGGTTCTCCACAACCTATAACCTGGACCAATATAATGAAACCAACAAATCTATATTACTCTTTTCAATCAAATTACTATAAACAAAACTCTATCCGTCCACCATTTGTGGTCGATTATAAAGTTGGTATTATTGATGGAAGGGTTCTTTTCACGAAGTGTAGGTTTTAGTTTCAATATTTGTATTTATTAATATGTTCATTCACCATCAGAGGATTATGGAACGAGATGCCAGTATTAGGTTATTACGTAGATAGTCAAAGCTACCGACAGGGTTTACCACCCAGACAAGAGAAGTCATGAGATCCATTGTCTTTAATAGTGTGACGCAAACTAAAATCAACGACTTTCTCTTTCAGATGGCCTGAATGGGGTCCAAACACAGACCAACAGTTGTCCCACCATTAACAAAGATAATCCTAAACAAGGTTTATTGAATTGTACTAAAATCATAAAACCTATATTCTCTGTTCCCTTCCAACATCTAGAACGGTAAGTGATCACTTAGCTTGCAACTGGCATCAGTAATTTTAGTCCAGTCTAAGGAATCATGTCTTCGCACCTAACAGTCCTCTCAGCTTACAATATCTGTAGCATATACTATATGAATTACATACTTATTTATTCCTTTTGCAAAATTGTAACATTTCTTTTTCAGGCTGTCTTTTAAAATAACAACAACTATTGGAGGATTTGTTAAAATACTAGATCTAGAAAGAAATGTCAACAACACCTACTACTACACACCAAAATCACTGTCACGCGATTTTGAGATAAAATTTGACAATGTACCACCGTACCATTGTATACCTGTCAACAATTGTAAAAAAACCATGCTAACTGATATTGACATAACTAAGAAGGTGAACAGAGAAACCACAAATTATTATTATATTGAACTGACTATAAATGGTGGAGGCAAAGTTGACAGAAGTAGTAACTGTGTTGTATCATGTGCTATACCATGTGTGATGATAATTTACTCAAATGTTGATATATTATTAACTATTAACACTGAAATGAAATTCTTCATGTTATTATAACCAGTAAAAACTGAACTAGCGACGTTGTAATTTCTCTGTAAAAAGTGATGAAATTGGTCAGATTGTAATCAAATATGTAGACAACCATTTCCTTGCTAAGATATTTTGTTGTATCTACATTAACAAAGTATCTCAAATCTTGTCAGAAGGTTGGCTGAAGTTCAAATGTAGCCTATACACATCTGATCAGCATCTATATAGAAATTCAGAAGACAAATGTTCTATATTTATTTTTTATAGGTAGAGAATACGGCATATTGGGACGGTTGGATTGACGATGATGCTGGTATAGCTATATATGAACTAGAAATATTCAGCATGAAGTCGGTAGGAAATGAACTAATTATAGACAAACGAATATTCGACACGGAAACTACATTGGTAGGTATAATAATTGATGATGTATACATGTAATTTTATCCCCCATAACCTTATCCTTAATATGACAGCCACGACGTACTATTCTTTCTAGTATCTATCATATTTGGAAATGAAATTAAATGAATGGATTTGTACATCCTACTTTTCTGTACCATATGGGCTAATGAATCTGGGCAACGTCATGCAGGCTACAATGAGGGAAATTGTGCAAGGACAGCGGCACTGAGCCACCGCGGCTCGCTATCATATTTATTACATGATATATTACATCTATATATATTGGCTCTTTACCTATGTCCTTATTAAGAAATAACAGTTGTTTCTTAATGTGCTGTGATACAAAATGTCTTACAAGGATTATGTCTATATTCTATGAATATTACCAATAGAAAATTTATTAGATCATTAAATTCATATTTTTTTCTTTTTATTAACAGAAGAGCCAACAATTTAATTTAACAATACCAGGTGTATATTCTGTTATACTTGCTGCAGTAGATATAGCTGGTAACATTAGACTTGCTAGACGATGTTTGATATTCGATGATAACAGTCAGGTATCAACTGTTCATGATACTAATTTAAAAACCACGTCAGCGTCACCTTCTACTAACTACCTCTGGCAACAAAATCATGGTCCTGTTACTATTGACTGGGAAAATAGGTATATTAATATTAAACATCATAATGGTAAATATCTAGCTGGAATCCAGGATTATCATGGTCTAGATTCGGAATATGATGATCATTATGGAACAAGAACAACCAAACACATTGATAATGTTCAAGGTAAATTTAGATTATTTTATTGCGTTCTCCGGCCGTGTTTTATACTTGATGTAAAGTTTGATGTGAAGACATAAATTTGTATCATAGAACGTACCATTAATATGGATAATCTGATACAATATTTCTTATACCTTGGCAGTCCATAACAAAAAAAGTTCTTGTGGAAGATGTTACACTTTTTATAGGTATAGTACGTTATGAAACATATTATGGAATAGATGACCATGGAGGTTCTACCATTCAACCAATAGATACTGATTTTACTACAACTGGTACCCTGAAACAATCTATAACAATTTCTCCTACATTACAAGATGGCGACACTGTAAAAATTTTTATAAGAGCTTATGATATAGTAGATTTCTACCTGGAAGAATCCACCACAGTATATTTTGATATGTCGCCACCTGTTATAAAAGATCTATGGTTAACTAAAGGAGATGATTTAAATATAGCTGTCCATGAATTCCACGATTTTGATAAACTAGTGTAAGTTCAAAATGTGATCATAATTGATATCCAGTCATCCTATATATTTAAAGAATTAGAAGCCCACGAACGGTATTTCATTCCCCCCCTCCCAACCCCCACGCCCCTACAATTTCGTTCTGTTTTGTACTAGCATTTATTTTTAATTCAACCACTTTATTTAGGGTCTTTAGACTGCTCTCTGGAACATTTGTATGTTTGGTGACATCGCCAGCCAATTAAATGTCTACCCTCTCCAACGCTGGGATTGTGTGATGCGTTCATTTAATACTATTGTATTTTATGCGTAATTATAAATAGATGTAGTTTCCTTGTAATCTTATGCTCGTCAACAGGATAGAATGGATAGCGTATGATCTTCACAGTGGACTAGAAACAGTAGAGTGGAAACTTCATGATAATTTTACTGGTGATGTTATATTACATGGTTCACAACATATACCAGTACAAGGGGAAGCACAGGTTGGTGATTCTAAATATGCCCCCTACAAATTATCAATAGGCTGTATCCTCGTATTTAAATTGAATAGTTGAAGATGTAAGCCCATCATATTCTCTATTCTATCTTGTGTAGGTCTCACATTAACCGATATATCTGATTTCAGAACCTACCAGAATGTGAAAAGAAATATAAAACTTTTTCTCGAGGATCTGATTGTTATTGTACACCTGCTGTTGGTTGTTATCATCAACATTTTCAAGTTAAACCTGGTGTATCATTAGAAGATAATAATGGATTAATTGACGGAAAACATCAAGGTGTACATGATTATGATTATTATATTGAAGTTAATGTTATGAATAATGCCAAACTGAATACAACTCTCATATACAAGGTAAGTTGAATTTACATTTATATTAGAAACAAAATAAAGAAATATCGATTAAAATCAGTATCTACTAACCTAACCTCCAACTGACCAGCAATTCATTTAAAAAAAATACATACAGGCAAGACAAATTCCGTCAATCAAAAATCTCGCCCAAAAATTCGACATCTTCACAAGTCTGCTTTTCATTTTTTTTGTAGATTACCATAGATACAAGTCCACCAAATGTTGGTGTTGTACATGATGGTAGGTATGGTGAACCTGAAGTAGATTACCAACCCGAAAGAAATCTGCAAGCGCATTGGGAGGGATTTTTTGATAAAGAAAGTGGTTTGAGATATTACCACTATGGTTTTTCTACAAGATGTTTAACTGCTGAAGAAATTTTTGAAATTTTTGAAATCCAGAACACTCCAGTACGATTTTATTCTTCAAATATACCATTTTATTAATTTAAATTTATCTTACTGTACCATAGTTCAGTTGGATGTTATTAACTAAGTATATCAGTAATCATGTTTTACGTAGGAAATCTAAATTAAACATAAGTGAATCGGAATTTGATTAGACAAAAAGATTAATCATTTTTTGAAAGTTAAACTATGTGATCATTTAACATTTACAAACCTTATGGGTGTTTATTATTATTTCAATGTTTATTAAAGGGAATCTTTGAAACAGTAGTAACTCACGCTACCTGGTTCGCACCTACAGATGGACAGTATTTTATCACAGTGGTAGCCTATAACACAGCTCTACAACCCTCTCAACCTGTATGTTCTGATGGTGTTGTAATAGATTCAACACGACCTATCGTCAGTGAAATATTTATAGATCAAGCTAGAATAGAAGCAGGATTAGTTTCGAAAGATGGAAAGTTATATTATATCAATAATAGAAGACTAATTCATCACATGCAAAATCCAGATCCCGCTTGTTTGTAAGTATCACAAATTGCAATTGTATGTGATTGTTTCCCAAGTAGAAAATCATGATCAAACTTCTTCTGTAATCAATAAACTGTTTATGTAAAATGCTGGGTACCTGCACACCTGAAAAGTTAATTGTTTTTAATATATTCAGACAAAAAGGAAGACCATTAGAAGATATCTCGTCGTTTCCAATAGAAAGATATCCCAATCAAACAATACAAGATAGAGATTTATGTCAAGAAGAAACATTACCTATACAATATCTAACACAATCATACCTAGTAGAACATTCTCATGTAGGTCTACTTGTATTTAATATTTAAACTGTGGCATGTTGGAAAAACCTTCTTTGTGCTGTTTTATAATTGCATGTAATACAATATTTGTACCCCAGGGTTATAGTTTTTTTCTTTGATAACTCAAAAACACAACAACAGTTTACATTTCATGTATTTTGTTTAGGTAAATATTCATTGTTATGAAATATCACGAATGTAACTCTATGTTTTTCTTCAGTTTTGAGTATTGAGTAAAAAGCATTTAACCGTTTCCCCTTCAGATACATGTACCGTCTTCATTAGCCCACATGGTGCAGAAAAGTAGGACGTAAAACTCTATTCATTTCATTTCATTTCATTTCAGATATATGTAAACTGGACTGGTATAGATGTAGAATCTGGTATTTATGATTATCAGTTTGGTTTATCATCAGAGAGAGATTCTATACCTGATTTATTACCATTTCACTCTACAAATCATCATGCATGGTACAGAGGCTATCATCCACAACTAACTGATGGTACAGAATTCTTTATTCATATTAAAGCTACGAATAAAGCTGGACTAGAAACTATTCAGGTTAGTGCATTATTCGACTACATACCATACATATATTGTCTACCCTTGCTCAGAATATATTTTATAGCCTACGACCATATGGTAATAATAATGTATTTAGCGGTGTAAATCCGATCTATTATGATAGAGTACTGCCTTATTTTTCAGACTCTAGGACCCATAATTGTTCATACTTCTAAACCTAAATTTACTGGTAACATAGATGTGGTATTAATTCTATTCAATCACACGACGTAGGCTATAACGCCTATCCTAGTTCAAAATTGCAATGATTTAACATACCAAATATTGTGATTCTCTCTTTTGATTTTAACTTTTAGAATTCGTGCTATTATCTGTAGGGTTAATATTGTATCTGTTTTATATCTTTTCACTGGAATCTTTAATGACTTTCAGTTGATAAGTTTATATATATATGACCCCTTATATTCGGTATAATTTTAATTTTATTTGAAATAATACTATATTTTGATCTGTTTTTTTTTCTGTCATATCTTTTCATTCTTAACCTCTTTTTAAGAATCTAGGACCACTGATAGTTCATACTTCTAAACCGAAATTTAGTGGTAAAATAGATGTCGTACTAGACAATAATCTGTTGGTAGCCAATTGGTCCAATGCTGTAGTTAAAGATCCTGGTCACAGTCAACTGAGATATACAACAGCTATTGGTCAGTAAACATTTCAACAGCCTCTTTATACACGCCATTTCCACATCCACGTCCGAACAGTATCAGAGTAATGGCTTCTCTTTTAAGATATTAGATCAGGTATTGTGTTTATTCTGGTTCAAAATAAGCAAAAACAAAAATCAAATCAATTAAACAAAGTCAATTGCCACTAACCGACAAAACAAAAGTGTATCTGGTTAAAGTCCACGCGAGAACCATATGCACATCATTTGTAGCGGGGTCTGTGAATAAGACACTTGAAATCATGATGGAATACAATAACTAAATTTGTCAGTACGAATGAAATTTACTTATCACTTTTCAAGTCAAGGGAAGTAACTCTATTTTGTATGTATTCAGTAGACCAATTGATCTTAATTGAAGATATTTTTTTTTCAGGTACAACTGAAGGCGGCCAAGAAATCATCAAGTTTTCAGATTTAAACTTTAATGTACCCTGTCTTGAAGCCTTACCACCCACCTGTACTGTATTTGATATTATGAAATTAGACTGGAGTTTACATCATGGATATAAATATTATATATCTATTAAAATAGAAAATACAGTTGGTCTTCATACAGTAATATCATCAGAATCTTTAACATATAAATCATTATTACCATCTAAAGGTGTGGTAATTGATGTTGGGTTAAAGAGTGAAATGGACTTCTTCAATATTTTGGTAAGAAATCCATACAAAAAACATATCTTACTTTCTACAAAGTTAACTTCTGGACATGAGAAAAATTAATCTTGCTGTGTATAATGTCCTTGACTTAAATCAGTAAGTGATAGGAACCGATTGATCTATAATACAAGATCATCGCTGGTCATCCTATTAAGTTATACCTAATCACTTCCATTCTTACCTCATGTCCAACGGAGTGAAGCTATCTGACGGTCTACTATTATATTCTGATTATGTGAACTCGAAGACAGTGACTATCAACTAGTATATTATAATTATAGGAACTTGAAGATAGTGACTATCAACTAGTATATTATATTTATAGGAACTTGAAGATAGTGACTATCAACTAGTATATTATAATTATAGGAACTTGAAGATAGTGACTATCAACTAGTATATTATAATTATAGGAACTTGAAGACAGCGACTATCAACTATCTACTAGTATGGTTAGTGTACGATGGTATGGATTTGAATCCCAAGAAGAAATATCTACAGGTATCAATTATAAAGTAGGAATAAGGAGAGAGAATGACAGTGAATTTATACAATCTGTTCATGTCAGCCAACAAACTGAATACACCTTCATTGATCTCCAGTTACAACTTCATCAGGTACGGTTTTTGAATGTTTCGTGTATTATTCATATTCATTTTATTATTTAAATGTGTATTTGTGAGTAATGGATAGAACATCTAGTGCTTTAGGGAGAGCGAGATGGAAAACGATTTCAAAACTACGGATTGGATTATCACTCGACTACCTATCAGTCAGTATACCTATCGACAAATTTATTTTTGTAAATATCTTTTCTAGAAATATATTGTATCAGTAACTGCTACAGTAGCTGGTGTTGGCAGTGTGACGTCATCATCTGATGGAATGACAGTTGTAGACAGATCGGAAGATTTGAGTGATGAAGTTGAATTAAAAGATGGTACTGCTTGTTTTCAGCCAACTGGTAATTCTTATCGTATTTTACCCTTTTCCCATTACATAATTTGTTTATGTCACTATCCTATAAAATAACAACGAATTTTGAAGATCAAACGTCCTGTGGACACCCACCTCTATATGAAACAATTAGTTACCCCAAATTTAATATATATTGATATAGAATATATTAGTGATGATAATTATGCTGTTTGTTTCAGATCTTGAAGCTAACCATTACGATAATTCTACTGTGAGTCATTTAAGATTAAGATTTGGATATCGTTTTTTTTTTTCATTGCAACTGAAATGATTTTAATTATAGTTCTTTCTTTCATATGCTTCATATTGTTTAGAAACTTGCAACGAAGCAGATGCCAACGGATTTACCATAACAGTCATTTTAACTCTTGTTTTAGGGTACCTTTTGTGGTGAATCGACATTTCAACCATCTAGTTCTAGTTACAGTATGAAGTGGAATATTTCTAATAAATATTACAATATATATCCCCATATAAATTGGTCTTTACAAAAACAACATCAAAATACTGGTAGGACCGATATTGACATTGTAGTTTTATTCCAATTTTTCAAAACAACAAGGGTTAGGCCTCGCCTCATACCACGCAGTTATAACTCTCACTAGGACGCCATTTTTGCCCAATTATTGCACACAAGAAATTTCTTTTACATTCGTATGTTGTGGAACTTGTATTGAATATTCAGCTCTATCATCTTGATAAGCAAATAAGATGAAAGTGAAATTGTGCACTGGAAAATGAAAGAGTGTTCAACTATTATTTTGTATATATTTGTAATATTTTTATTCTAGATATATGGCTCAAAGAATACGAAAAGGAACTTTACACAAGAGATAGAATGCTGACACTACCATACCGTTTAGAAGTTTGTGAATCCTATAGAAGTCATTTACAATTTTGTATTGACAACGTCTGTTCTAAACCTGTTTATTCTGAAGGTGTGACGATCCTAGGAAAACCTGACAAACCAAAAATGAACATATTGATGACTACCGATCAAGAGGTATTCATATAAATGAAATATATTAAATACTTGGATACATCTTATACCTTTGTTAAATCCATAGTATAAAAAGACAATGCGAATTGAAGTCATCGATTTACAGCTTCCAAATACTCGCTATTTATCTATGTTTATTCTTTTTTGAAAGCTGAATGTTAGTTTAGAGTTTACATCGCCACCAACCAGTGAATCTTGTGATAATGTAATTAAAAGACTAGAATGGAGTATAACAGATAATCACAATGGAAGGCTGCTTACATTATGGAGGAAAGTGGATGAAGTTGTTAATAACGATAACAAGGTATTATATTGCCTTGATATCTTCTTATTCAACATAATAATAATGATAATGGTTTATTATTTATTGGTATATTACCAGAATTGTATTTGACGTCTTTTTAATTTGAATCTCACAATGTATGTTCTTATTGTTTTTGTTAAAATATACAATTTTAATCTAGAGCATGAACTGGTAATCTTTTTCTAGATTCAGTTGAAGATAATTCTAGATGGTACAATAAATATTAATAAATGTATAAGGTTGGCTCTACGACTAT